GAGAATACAGCAGCACCAAACTCACTGTACCTCAGCTACACTGCTGCATTCCAAATCTGGAATACGCTCGAGGTCTCCTTATCAGTTCTTATCCAAAATTATTGTAAACAGTATTTGTTTAAATAATGATGAAAGTTTCTTTGCTGTCAAGTTATACAGAAAATACATGACCTTCAGGGGAGACCAGTTCTCTAGAAGTTGTGAGATGTGAGCAGTGAGAAAAAGACAGCAAAGAAGAGAGGGGATGCCCCCAATATTTCACCTATAAAACAACAGGATTCTGAAGATTTTGTGAGGATAAAATTTGCGCATCCATACACAGTACTTGGCATAGAGACTGATACCAAATAAACCTCCAATAACTGTTTAAAAAATCTGCTTTAACAAATTATTTCAGATTCAAAAAAGGAAATAGGCAACCCAGTTTCCTATGAAAAGCCCTGGGTCTGGGTCCAGCTGGCCTTGGGCAACCCTTCCCCTCTCTGGGCCCCCATTCTTTCATGTGTAAAATGAGGCAATTTTAACCAAGTGGTCAGGCTTTATCTAATGGACAATGTAAATTGAGAAACTGACCATCACGTTTCTCTTTTCCTGCTAACTACATGAATGTTTAACTACATGAATTAAATCTGTAGCAAGCTCATTGCACATGGAGATTTTTTTTTTATTTATTCACATTTTTTTTCTCCATCTCACATTCCTTTTCCTTTGTTAAAAACATTATTATGGATTTAGAAGCATTTTAATACCATATGTCACTAAAACTTGTATTAAATATGTTTTTTGAATAAGATGACACAGTAATGACACAGAATACAAGGATTCTGTTTGGGAGGAGGGAAATAAGACTATATGTAATTTGGTTAAAAGTTAAAAGCATGAGCTTTGGTCTCACTATCTTGAGCAAGGTATCTAGCCTGCCTTAGTTACCTCAATTATAATATAGGACTATTGGTTACAGTTTCCTCACAGGATAATTTTAAACATTAAATGAGATAATGCATTGGATAAATGTTAGCCATTATTAACATTTATGTTTCCTCTCTCCAGAACCAATTCTTCCGTTGTTGTTGTTGCTGGAATGTGTCTTTTTTATTTTAACTTTTTATTTTATACTAGAGCAATATCAGCAATGTTCTGATAATTTCAGGTGTACAAAAGAGTAACTCAGCCATGTGTATATGTGTATCCATTCTGTCCCAAACTCCCCTCCCACCCAGGCTGCCACATGACATCAGGCACAGTTTCCTGTGCTATATAGTAGGTCCTTGTTGGTTTATCCACTGTAAGTATCACAATGTGTACATGTCTATCCCAAACTCCCTAACTATCCTTTCCTGCCATTCTTTCCCCACCAGTAACCACAAGTTCATTCTCTAGGTCTATGGCTCTGTCCTGTTTTCATAACTAATTCTTACGCCCACTCCAGATGCTCCACTATTGGTTTTCATGAAGCAAGGTCTGCCAATGGATTTTATATGGAGACCTAGGTGTCCTAATTGACTTAGGCTTTTCTAAAAACAAGGCAACGTTGGCACACACAGAACCACAATATGTGGCCCACAGCTCTGCAAGCAGCAAAGCAATTCTCACCTCATAACTGTGGTCCTCTCACTGCTGATGGTGCAGCCTGGGTTGAATGGGAAGGACATCTATCTGAAGGCAGTAGACAGAGAGCTACAAGTTTCAAGCAACATGTAAGCTAAGATTTCACTTTCAATTATTTATTTGATCCACTTTTACTATTATTTCTATTATTTTACGTAAAAGAACACCTGTTATGTACTAGGCCCTGAGGATTCAATAGAGAGTAAGATGCCATCTCTGCTCCCTTAGATTTTATGTTCAAATGGTGGTATATAGGCAAGTATATCAATAATTACAACACAGCATAATAAGTAGTAAGGTAGAGGAAACCCAGGGAGTATGAACGCTGACCCTAACCCAATTCAAACAGGGAGGGGTCATGGAGGAAGTGACAGCTGAGCAGATATTAGAAGGATGACTGGAAGTTAGCCAGCATTATGGAGGAGTGTAGAAAGTGCAGGAAATAGAGAGATCATGCCAAGCAAAAACGTCCAGCCTGCGCAAAGCCTAAATGCAAGAGAGAATACAGCAAGTTTGGGAAATGTAAAGATTCCTCTTAGCTGAAGCACAGCAAGCTGTTTCACAGCACAAGAGACTGGAGAGGTATGGAGACAGATCATGCAGACACTTGTGGGCCCTGGGAAGGAGTTCTGGCTCCATCCTGAGAGCAGTGAGAGCTAGTGTACTTTAAGCCTGGCCTGGGCATGTCCTTTGTTTTAACTTATGCAGTATCCCACATGCAGCAGGACCTTGGAGCACATCTAACCTACTTCATTGTACAGATGAGGAAATAGGTTAAGTGACTTATCTCAGATAACTTAGTTGCAAAATCAGGACCAAAAAGCAAGCCTCTGTATTTCCAAAGCAGTGGTTTCAATAAGACCATGTTGCAAAAAAAAAAAAAAGAAAGAAAGAAAGACCATGTTGCTTCCCCTTATAAGCAAACAGAATTCAGGGATCAGGGAATTATTTTTGCCCAAGATCTAACCAACTATAGACATAATCATCTTTTTTTGTTTGTTTTAAGCAACGTGTTCCTGCAAGGTGAAAAGACAGGGAAGGGACCACAGGGAGAAATATGTTTGCCAGAAATTTACAGCATCTAAAATAATATTCCATTTAGAATGAAAATCCTGTCTCTCACTGTTACATATTTGTAATCACTGACACCCAAAATCCCAAGGATCACAGTAGAAAATTAAAAATTTTAAAAAAAGAAGGAAACTTCACTTCTGGTTTTCAAAGCCATCCTCCACAAACACCCCCACAGCTTTCTCACATGGCACCAGTGAGAATATATATATATTAATATATATGACATACATATATATACATGTATGTCATCCTTTCTGAAATAGCAATCTAAATTAGAATGAGTGATGTAACATTAAACCACAAAGGATTATGAATGCTGTGTGCTAGGGAAATGATGTGAGATCAGTGAGGGCAAAGACTTTCACAAGTTCTTTGCTGAGTGTTGAGTAATGGGGCTTCTCTATAAATAGCCCATAGGAATAGCTGAGTGATTAACTAGAAATTTGTGAGCTCTTCAGAAATATTTCAGAAAGATTCCCCTGTAGCAAAACTTTACCCCTTAACTTTAAAATGTCTCAAATGTTTTCAAATTATTTACCTTGTGAAGTAGGAAAAGCAATTCATCTCCCCACATTGTAGATAGGGTGGCATCTCAGGCATAGAGTGAAGTGACTTGTTCAGGGATCCCAAGGTTGAAATTCAGTGCTGCCTGACTTCCCCTAGCTTGAGGGCCCCCCAGGCAGCTTACAGAGACCCATTTCTGTGGAGAGCGCTAAATGAGGTAAGTCTTGAAGAGAAAGGTGCCTGTCCTCTCAGTTCTTTCCCAGGTTTTGCCAGAAAATACTTCCTGTTACCATGTATTCGCCTTCCTGTCCATTAGGCAATTAAGTCTTCTTGAATGAACTAAAGAGCCTCTTGAAGAAAGTGAAAGAGGAGAGTGAAAAAGTTGGCTTAAAACTCAGCATTCAGAAAACTAAGATCATGGCATCCGGTCCCATCACTTCTTGGCAAATAGATGGGGAAATAATGGAAACAGTGACAGACTTTATTTTCTGGGGCTCCAAAATCACTGCAGATGGTGACTTCAGCCATGAAATTAAAAGACGCTTGCTTCTCGGAAGAAAAGCTATCACCAACCTAGACAGAATGTTAAAAAGCAGAGACATTACTTTGCCACCAAAGGTCTGTCTAGTCAAAGCTATGGTTTTTCCAGTAATCATGTATGGATGTGAGTTGGGCTATAAAGAAAGCTGAGTGCCAAAGAATTGGTGCTTTTAAACTGTGGTGTTGGAGAAGACTCTTGAGAGTTCCTTGGACTGCAAGGAGATCCAACCAGTCCATCTTAAAGGAGATCAATCCTGAATATTCACTGGAAGGATTGATGCTGAAGCTGAAATTCCAATACTTTGGCCACCTGATGCAAAGAACTGACTCATTTGAAAAGACCCTGATGCTGGGAAAGATTGAAGGCAGGAGAAAAAGGGGATGACAGAGGATGAGATGATTGGATGGCATCACTGACTTGATGGACTTGAGTTTGCATAAGCTCCAGGAGCCGATGATGGACAGGGAAACCTCACGTGCTGCAGTCCATGGGACCACAAAGAGTCGGTCATGATTGAGGGACTGAACTGAACTGAATGAAGTCGAGGGAGTTCCCTGCTTAAGAGACGGCAGCTTCAGGGCTTTGCCCCCAAGGGAAGTGAAAGGGAGAGTGAGAATGTATTTCTGAACAAGAGGAGCAGCATTTGGGATCAGATTCTGTTGGTGGAAGCCCCTTCTCCCCAACCCTCAGGTTTTTCTGTCCCTTCACCCTGTTCTTTTTCTTCACAGAATGTCTCCCAGTTGAAACTGGGCATTTGCTAGGTAAATTTATCTGGTCTCTCCTAAACAGATGATAAGCTCCAAAAGGACAGGGAGCCCGTCTTTTGTACACCAGTGCCTACTCTGCTCCTGGCACGGTACTTGGAACAAATACCAATATTTGTTCGATAAATATTAGGGAGATAAATGAGCACTTAGAAATAATGCGAGGTCTATGAGATACCAAAGGAGCCCAAAGCTTCAGTCCTCCCACAGCTGCAGGTGTGGCTCCCAAGCCTGGGAGCTCCTGGGGAACAAGTCCACCCTAAGCGGCGCTGCTGGCTCTCCTTGCCGGGTGAAGTCCGAGGTGCAGGCCAGGATGCGCGGGCCGCCCTAAGGGGTGCACCGGGAGCCCCTGGTCGCAGCCATTTCCGGCTCTTTGTGTGACAGCCGCGGCGGCGAAGGGGCGGGATCTCAGGAACAAAGGCGGAGCCGCGGAGGGTGGAGGGGCGGGGCCGAGGGCGGGGCCCAGCGCGGCGGCCGCCAAGCGGAGCCCGGCAGAGCATCCTGCGCCCCGGCGCGGGGCCCCGCGGTAGCCTCCGGCCGCTCGCTTAGACCTGCCGCAGACCCAGGTAAGACCCAGACTCGCAGGCCTCGGGGACTGCGTGGGGACCGGGATCCTGCTGGGCATGGCGACGCGGCCGTAAGGATGCGCGAGGGGTCTGCACCCTTCTCCGAGCCCCGCGGGGGTGCTCGGCTCGGAGGCTGGGCTAGCGCGGCCTGGGAACCCCGAAACCCTCCGAGGCTGGGCCTCAGGTCCGGAACAGCCCCCTACCCGCTCCGGCCCACCCTGGGCCCCGCGGTGCGTACCCGCTGCAGGGAGGCGCCGACGCACGGCGGAGCTGGGGCGCGGTGGCGGTGGCAGCAGCAGCAGGTGCGCGGCCTGGGCCGGAGCCACCGGCCCGGGAGGACGCGGCGCTCATCCCAAGCTCCGGAGACACCTGCAGCGGCCGCGAGCCCGGCGGCGGCGGTGGTCTCCCCGCACCCAGGTACTGCAGAGCGCCGGCCGCCGCCTCTGCGGCCGCGGCCACGGCCACCATCACCTCCTCCAGGGCTAGCGAGGGCCGCCTGGGCCCGCCTGGCAGCCTCCTTGGGCTCACAGCGCCCTGCAGTGAACGTGAGATGGGTGGGGCGAGGGGCGAAGAGGCGATGTTTAGGGGTGCGGGCATTAATGAGAGAGGAGACACGCCTGACCCGCTTTGAAGCCTTCCGGCCTAGCATCGCTCTCCCTCCAGGCTGTCTGGAGGCGGGAGAGGAGGTGGGGGAAGCGGGGGAGTGGGCTGTACTCCTGAGGTAAATGTTGGGTTTTCCTGAGCTCTGAAGACTCGGGAAGATGCCTACCTGTCTGTAGTGGCATCTGCTTTTCAGGACAGCCCTCCCCCTCCAAGGGTACACCGTGTGAAAAGGAAGAGAAGGGCGTGCTCTTCGTGTGCAGTGGGGGCGGGGGTGGGAAGCATGGCCCGACAAGAGTATGGTTCTCTGTATGGAGAACCTGGCAGAGCAGAACCCTAGGACTGCCCAGGTGCCCTCCCCAGCCCAGGGAATTTGACTTTGACCTCTACTTGCCTGGTTTCCGCAGCACAGCAGAAAGGCTCGCCAAGGGTTGACAGGCCCTTACAGCCAGGCCAGGAAGAGGACAAGGATCTTTTCCTGCCCGCTTGCTGGTGCCTTCAAGGCTTGACCGGGAGCCTGGGGCAGTCCTGCCTGCTTGCGGAGAAAATCAGGAGAGTGCTGGTTCCCACACTCCCCCTTTCCACCTTCTGCCTGTGTCCCCAGCGCAGGGGGTGTCTTACGTTACTCCTGGGCACAGGCCCTGTTTCAAGCCCTGCTAGCAGCGGTGGAGATCACAAATGCTGGAGAGCGATACATCTAGGTTTATTTTGCTGGCAGGATGGTGAAGGACTTAAAAGTTGTTTCCTCCACCATCAGACCCTCCCTAAGACCACCCACCTCCAGTTCCAGATACTGCCCTGCTGATCCACCATCCCCACTGGCTATTTGCCTGTGTCAAAAATTGTTTTCAAAAAAGGAGCCAGTAAACACATTAATCCTCAAGAGCTAAATACACAAGAATCTCCCATAGACATAGAGCAGGTGCTTCAGAAGTCATTTGACCAGAAAGGAAACAGAGACTTGGAGGTATTTTAATGGAAAATAAAGCTTTAAGTAAATAATATTTGATATCTCTAGTGGTGGAATTTCAGGCAGTGGGCTGGAGGTGGGGGTGGGGAACTGGGTAGCAGTTTGGGGGAACAGCTTGCTGAAATGACAACAGCTAGCAGCTGTCACCTCTGTTTTGTTGTTGCAAGGGCGACTTTGGCCCTGAGGACAAAAATACCATAAGAGTTGTGTGTGTGTGTGTATGTGTGTGTAACCGGTCAGGGTTACTGTCACTCGAGGGTATTATTGAGCACCCAGTGACCACTTGGAGGAGGTGAGACTTTCCCATAGAGAGTTACTTGTTGGCACTGGCTGCCATCTGCCAGGGCAGCTCCGAGGCCACAAGGAGAGTGTGTTATTGCTCACAAAGCCAGTTCCTCTGGCTAGTCCTGCAGGCTGAGATTCTGGCTGGAGGCATTAGAGCTCTGCTCACTAAGCTGCTTTATTATATTTTCTGGCCAGTTCTGACTGGTTCCGTAAGCACCCAAGCCTACTTTGTTCAGTCCCTGCTGGAAGTGGAAAGGGAAAAAGTCATTTTACACATTAGACCAGGAGGAGGGTGTAAAATCCACCAGGATCAGAGAGTTTTACTCCAATCAAATCAGAGGCTGACCCACAGAAGACAATAGACAAGAAAATTTAAAAAGTGGAAAAAAGTCTTGAGGGGATAGTGCATGTCCCCTCTGATATATTACGTCCTCTTGAGCATTCAGTGGGCCTCGGCTGCTGTCATTGACCAGCAAGCTGAATTAGGTGATGAATAAGCAACCAGCTAATTAACATTGGGAACAGCATTCCTGGAAAACAGTGCTGAGCTCCTCCAGCCTCCATGTTTGAGGATCAGCCTACCCTCTCAAAGAGGTTTCTTTTGGCTGCTGTTGGCCCCAGGGTTCCACCACGGGCTGCACAAAATGGCCTTTTATAGCCTCCATGTGGCTACCATAACAATGAGTCTATTTCTTTACTGGCAAGTATTAATTATTCACTTGTAGCTGATGAAACCAGACATCAGTCATCTCATTGGAGCTTTTGTAAAAGGCCTTTGGTCTTATTGTTCTGAGGAGCAAAGCTGAGTCTCGGGTCTAGAGGATGGACCCTGCATTAGTAGTGAAGGTGGGGCAAGAGGGTGGAGGATGCTGCCGCCCCTGGCAGTGACACAGTATGCCAGGTACCAGGCAAAGAGCTGGTACTTCATTGGATGCTCTTATTAAACAAGGGCTGCATGAAAATGCTATGTAAACGGTCTAACACATAGTAAGGACTATTTTATGTGTATGTCTATTGTTGTAATGTATTAATGACATCATCATTAAGAATGTGACTCATGCTACATTATATATTGTGTCAATTTAAGATGACAAATTTTTTTATTGTTGTCATGGTTGATTCTGCTAAAGAATTCCATGGCTTTAGAGGGCCTCCCATCAGGAAGGTTCCACCCTGGTTACCCAGCAGACACTTCATTGCTGGAGGCCATGTCCAAGAACAGCCTTTCTGTGAGTTGGCCAGTTAAGTCTTCACTGCTGGGGGATGAGGAGCGACAGGAGTTCCTTGATGTGCTAAGAGGAGTCCCAGTTTGGGAGGAGGAGGTGTTGTCCACACAGAGTTCTTTTCAACCCTTGTACCTCCAGAACCTTCCTGGATTTTGCTTTTCCCAGGGGAGTTGGTCTCTGTGACCATGAAAACCAGTCCCAGGTTGAGTTGCAAAAGCTAGCCAAAGGAAAGCCTGATAAGTAGTGGTGTCAGTAAGGGCTTCAGCTGGGACACGCTCCTGAGTAGGGGACTGAAGTAGGCAGAGATGTAGCTGGAGTAGGCAGAGAGAAGGGGGAAGGAATTTACCAAGCAGACGCCCAGAGGTAGTTCTCACATTTCAACACATAGATCAGGAAGGACCTCTTCCTCTGTGGACATTCAGCATTTTGCAACCCCACCAAAAATGTTAAGGGCATGCAGGCAGAGAGAGAGCAGTATGCCATGGTCTTCAGACACAGGGTTTATCCCTGCCTTGCTGTGTGCCTTTCAATTAGCCACTACCTCTCTGACTTTGAAAACTGGGGAACTGAAAGCAGCCTGCCCAGCCCGTTATCTACCTGTTGCCACAGGAGCCCACGGATGAGATCATGTCTGTAAACTCCAGTCTGAGAAGAAGAAAAGACCCTGGAAACAGAGGCGAGAAGGAGGTTCCTGAGTGTGTGGCCCCTTTAGACGGCTGCCCTCCATTCCTAAAGGGACAGTTTATTAATTATACCTTGTGTGTCAATTGAAGAAGACAAATCTGTGGTCTCTCTGTACCCCCGAGCCAATTGAAAGGGAAACTGAAAGGCACTTTGTGATTCACAGATTCTATCAAGGCCCCTGGAAGGCCTTGTCTGTACAAAGACACTTCAGAATGTGGTCAGTGGGTGTGGGATGCCTCCCAGAATGCAAAGACGTTGGGTACCGGCTACCACACCCTGGCCACTGTGCTGAGGACTGTGTGTGATGTGCCTCAGAAGACCACCAATCAGGTCATACCTCTTGCACCCTAGCAGCAGAGGTGAAAACAATGTGGGTGCCAATTCTGGGAAGAAACTGTTTTGAAAAGGCAGAGCTTGGGTTCAGGCAGAATTTCTTGCAGGGATCATTCTGGCTAAGTGGCATTTTGATAGACTTGCGGCAACTCAGAAACAGTATAAGGAGAGGAGAAAGTAAACATGACCTGGAGAGCTGCCCAAGAAAAACTCAATGATGACTTCATTGATAGGTCTTTTGATTTCATGTTTGCATCATCCTTAGGCCGTTGTAGAGCTGTGGTTATCAGGCATTTATCTTTTTACGGAATAGGGAGATATTCAGTGGGTCCATGGTGTGTGGTCTCTATCTTCTAAATAAGGCAGGAGATGAGGTCCTCTGCAGAAAGTAAAGGTGGTGGACTGGTAAGGAGAGTGCAGGAGGTGTCCGGAGGTTTGGAACAGCTGCCTTTGTAGGCGGAATAAGAAATCAGATGGGAATGAATGAGAGCTTTGTCTAACTTTACCAAAAGCCCAGTTGAGATCAAAGAGACTCTGCAGGGCTGACCCTTATAGAAGACACTCAGTAGCTCAGTGTTAAGTGAAGGGATACCTGAGAATGATATTCTGTTTGTGTTTTTCAGTTGTGATGCTTCAAGACAAATTCAGGGAAGATATGAATGATGAGATAAGAATCCAAAACTCAGAGTCAGCCATCAACCTCCAAGTGTGCTATACGTTCATAGGGGAAAGATAAATGAAGTTCTGCTTTTTATTTTTTTGGTGGAAACAATGACAGAAGAAACTTCTAAATATATCCCCTTACATTCTTATTACAATAAGACTGACTTAGATATGGTGCCTTAGGGGACCATGATGTTTTAAATTTTGTGGGTGTTTTTTTAAAGAAGACTTGATTGTTG